TCTAAAGGAAAATGCATGGAATTTTAGTTTTAATTTTATGTTATTGACTTTATTGTATAGTGGGCGGAGTAATAGCTCCTCTTCCCACTTAACCCATACAATCACTAACAGCGATGCCTTATCTGGGGTCAAAGTCAACTTTTTCGGTTTTTTGGATTTTTCTCGAAAGCGGCAAGTTTTATTAAAGATGTAGCTCAGATAGAAATGATTCTGATGCTTTTTTTCTTTAAGAATCACCATTCCATTCCTAAGGTATTGTCCTTTGAAGGAGTTTACATATATTCTACACGTTTCCATACCGCCGGTGAGGTAGTATACTTGGCGCGATTTTTTAACGTGGTTTCCCCGGTAAGCCTACACCACGATCTGTTATGACGAATTTTTTGTGGCAAAATACTGTATTTACGGCATGATGATTATTGATTTTGAAATTGGTATATAGGTGCTTCCTCTCGTTCGAAAGTGCATTGGCTCCATATCCTCTTGCGCCCTTGCCCTAATGCGAAAGAAGTACCTCTTCTTCGTCGGAGCAACTGATAGACATTTTTTAATGTACTTGACAAAAAACACTGTTACAAGGTTTAAGTAAAAACAATAATAACAACAACCAACCACACTCGATAAACGACAAATATATACTAGATCACCAACTTTAGACCGGTTTCTGTGTGGCCACTATATAGAACGGCAAACGCAGCGTTCTGTATAACCTGGCCTTAATAGATTCACCTTCAGACAAAAGTTTATTGTAAATAAAGCACAATTTTGACATTTTTTGATAATATTGGTAATATCAGTAATAGTAGACGCTAGCAATAAACACGTGTATTCTCTCGAAAGGAACATTCAACAGTAAAAGTATTTCACTTAAGTCACTTAAAAAAAGCGGGTAATGAGTTAGAAGTATATTTTCAAAAAAACCTCTCTTGACTAAATTTTGTAAAAAAGCGGAAGGGAAAGATGCGATAAGTAAGCATGAGAATTTTCGGTGGTTTTCGTTCCTCATTGTCGCATATATTTATGGTAACCCCCCCCCCCCCCCCCGTTCTTCCTTCACAGGCATTCGAGGTGTCGGCCCCAGCGCACCTACAAACCGTGCATTACCAACTCGGCATGAAGGTGTCGATTTTTGGTTCGTCTTCCGTACTCAGATTAGAATGGCACTCAGATGCGTTTTTCGCATTCGCCTTCTTAGCTTAAATTCCTAATCTCGTCGAGATCTAGTCTCGGAGTGACGGGTACATTTTTTGCGAATATCCCGTTGATTCAAAGCTAAATACGACTGCTCATGTAAACAAAAAATCCAAAAGGTGACTCGACAGCAACTTATTTTTGATTGCATAGTATTAATGTTGTTTTTTACTATTAGTCCATTGAAATGTTACATTTTTTTGGGCTTAACGTGCGTTTGTCAGAGGACGCAATTTTATTTTTTAGATATCAAGGAGATGTTAGTCTAAAGTTAAATCCAAGTTTGTGGGGTTGCAGCCCTTGTCCCGCGGCCGCTATCTTGAAAAAAGGGGTGCAAATGGTTTTTATGATTTATCTGGCAAACTATTGGTCTCACAAAAAATTTATTCAGACATTTTTGAATAAAAATAAAATTCTCTATGACTTTGGTCCAGCAACTTTTAGTCGTAGACCCAAAAATAACAAAGTTATAAACGAAAATTTATGAACATTTTGTAAATAATTTTTAATTGGTCGTTATAACTTTTTTTCTGGTCATTTTACAAAAAAACCACATCAGAGCATTTTAATAGAGGGGTTTTCAAGGAATAATTTTCATTACAAACTTTTTCAATTTTATTCATTCATTAAGATTTTATAGCGCTCAAGTATTAAGCTATACATAAATGTTAATGATTTAACGTAACTTCCTAATGTTCGAAAATCTAAATGAATGACATTATTACTTCCTTGGTTTTTTTTATGGACTAGGCTGCAGATGTTAATTTTCAATATCAAATAGTTGAGGGAAAACCAGAGAAGAAAATGGCGTCATTGTCGGCGGTTCATCTTCAAAATCATTTTCTTCAATTAATTTTGATATGTGCATTATGTTGCTGCAAGTCTCCCCCGAACCATGAAGGCACGCTGCAGAACACTTGAGACCTGCTTTCCGACATCCACACATTGCTCCACAGTTTCCTTTGCATCGGCAGAAAATCAACTTCAGAAGCACAGGGGGTACTGGAGGTTTTGAGCTTTGCACTGGCATCAATATTATTTGTCCATATTTTTTGCTCTGGGTCTTCAGGGTCGTTGTAATTACCCAGCCACGACTGGACTTGATGGTAGACTCGGAAGCTGTGAAAGCGGGCTGTATCTTGCGTTGGAGGAAGTGAAGACAAGTTGAATGTACTCTTTGGCACTGACTTGGCGAATCATTTGTATCTAATGCTGTCAAGAGAATCATCATATTTATTGCCACCATATAAAAGGATGAAAAGACGTTCACCAATGACAGTGAGCAAAGCAGGATCGGCTGTCTTATTGAGGAACAACCACGGGAACAACGCTATTCCACTGGCTAACTCTGGATGTTTCTCCAGGGTTATAAAAAATTTTAGTTTGCCAATGTTGTAAGCTGCTGATGTTGTGTCACATCCTGAAAAAGCATGGAGGAACAGCAAATTATCCACAATGACGTCTTCGTGCATAAAACTTGACGGAGAATACAATTGTTCGACTATACGTCTTTTTGACGGTTTCAAAAAATATATATTTGATCTCTTTGCTCCAAAAGCTGTGAGCAACACAAGTATGTCGATATCTTCAGCTACAATAGTAACTCAAACGATTGGGATGCGGCAAAAGCAGAACGAACAATGAGAGTGTCTGCATCGGATTGTGCTTGGTCGACAGTGAAACCCATCTCTGAGAATGATCTTTTGAGAAGTACAATGAAATTAGCTTTGTTCTTCTACCAAGAAATATCTGAATACTATAAAATTGTATTCGTTTCGCAGCGCTGTAAAATTTTAATTAATGGATAAAATTGAAAAAGTTAAAAATTATTCCTTGAAAACCCCTCTATAAAAATGATCTGAGGTAATTTTTTTGTAAAATGACCAGAAAAAAAGTTATAAGGACCAATTGAAAGTTGTTTACAAAGTGTTCATAAATTTTCGTTTATAACTTTGTTATTTTTAGTTCTACGACTAAAAGTTACTGAACCAAAGATGTAGAAAATTTTATTTTTATTCAAAAATGATGGATTGTGTCCACCAAGTTCCTCGTGAGTTTAGGCAATTTTTAACTTCCGACAAAATATGCGCCGAGTATTCATCTGATAGTAAGAACCTATACAGCATTCACTCAAATGCAAACACTTTTAACTTTTTTAGAACTATCAGTTTGCCAAGGTTACGACGGAGGAGGATTGTCTGTTCAAAGGTATATAGGCAGATTTTATCTTAAAGGCATTGTAAGCACAACTATGTCGTTAACAGGAAATGAAACAGTACACTGTGATAGACATCAATATGCTTCATACACTAAGATATCTAATTACATAGGTCTTATACAAAGAATTGAAAATGAAAATAGGTCGTGAGTTACTTGCTTCAATTTTGTATTGCTATAAATAAAAATGGAAATAAGTAGCAGTAAACAGGTTTATTCCTTCATTAATTCACTGGATCCAGCTGCTCTGCTCTCCGACCAGCTAGAGTCCTCGCTTCCGTCACAAATATGGCGTGTGAGACCCCTCGTACGGACAAGACCTTGCCATGTTCTTCCTGCGGAAGAAAATCCTCCAAGGCTCGTCCTGAAACCAGGTTTGCGCCTCCATCTTGTCAACGAATGCATTCAATACAGCCACAATGCACCCCGACTGAGGCTCAGCGATGTCCACTTCCGGATGCGACAACGGAACAACGCCCTCCCTGATCATCACCGCAGCGACTTGCTCATTGTCCATAGATCCGTGCTGCACTCGCAACTTTAGATGCTCCAGAACCTCTGGGCTTCTTCTCAGATCCATGAGCCAGACCCGGAGTGCTTCCCTCCGATCTGAGACGTTTCACGTTTGGTTAAAAACTTTCCTTTGGTTGCTTAACCAAATAACAACTTTCACCAAGGTTTTTAACATATAGAGGTAGGAAATATGAATCTTAGCGTTTTAACAAGCAGCTTTACATGCAGAGGCACTCACCTCAGTGACTTCGAAACTAGGCTCCGTACGAGTGTGTCTTCAACACTAAAACGCCAAAAAAACATGTTCAGTCCAATGCAAATGCTTTGTTTTTAATTGGCTTAGATAACACCACAATTTTCAGAAAAACATTTTTATACAAGTTTTATATCTATTTCTATCTATTTATCTGAGCTACCCGCGTATTGACTCAATTACTATGCAGCAGGTATGGTACCAGAATCCGCAAATGTTGAGTGGATTATAATGGCTGAAATATAACATAAATATAAATTAATACCTAGCTCTTAAGATAAGTTTGAAAATGAAATAAAAATATATCTATTGCAAATGGTGCAGAAGGGCAGGGGAAGCAGTGAAAATTTATGTTAGAAGTGATCACTACATAGTTATTCTTAATAGTCACAATGGAGAGATGAAAACGCCGCTTCAATTTCTTAAATCGGGAAATAAAGTGCACTACAAATACAATTAGCTACCGGTAACCATTCATATAGGGAAATACAAAAGTAGCATACCATCTATCGTATTCCTCATAGCATGAACTCCACCACCAGTCACAGTAAACCCCTAGACATTGATTTCGTTCTGTAGTGCCTTCATAGCAGTATTTGACAACGGTAGCCATTGACAGACCAACTAACGCCAATACCAATATAGTACAAATAATGAAACTTTTCATGTTGAACACCTTTCTGACTCTCCAACGTAATTCACGGCTATATATAGAGCAGTGTGTACTTATCATATCACTGGTTCGATTGGTAATCACTAAAGATAAATTATTATTTTCGTATAAAAACAATTTCAAAACAATGCGGAGCCCATAAGTCATCGTGATGAAAGATTTGTGGCTTGGTTAAAGGCGTAGGTCGTCTCCGAAGTGTAAGAGAGATGAATTTTTCAACACTTGGCATTGAAGTGCTTTTCAGAGCTGAGGACCAACATTAAGGGCGTTCGGTCGGATTGGGGAACAGACCGTATACTGACCACATTCCTCATCCATGGCCTAGCTCGATGTTTTAGAGCAAAATGCAAGTCCTGTCAGGTAGTCGTATTAGGACATTTCCATAATTTTCCTCAATAGGTTTTCAGTGTCACTATTTATTTATTCCATAAACAAAACAAAATAAATTTCGACGGGATCGATGCCGGGTCTATATATCTGTCTGGATTTGGCGGTGCGCCGAGCACCTCGAGCGCAATCAACTTCCAATCTGGAACTGGAGATGGCCGGCTTGTCTTGATTACACAATACGTTTATTTTACATGTTATAGATGATACAATAATTGTGTTAGTAGTAAATGAAAGGCGGATTGCTCAGGACTTGTGTCCTCTTCAGCCCTTGGTTAGTACGTGATTTGTGATAAGTCATATGTCATCCGATGGACATTTTAATTATCTATCCGAGGATGTTTTTATTTTTCCTGTATGATGAAAATGGGGAGCAGGAATTGCCGAAAATGTATTTTCCCATGTTATTTCCCTATGTCCCGCCGTTAACTTGCCACACTGTATAACCACCGCGCATGCGCATAGAGACGCGCGATTTAATTGGTTGCGCGACGACTGGCGATTGCACGCGATGTTTCACGACGCCACTTTTGCGAGCGCGTTTTGTTTGAATGGTGAGTGCGTAATTTGATTGGGATATGACGGGGGGCGACCGTTTGCGAACTTGCGCGATACCACTCCTTTAATATTCTACGTGCACATTGCACGTACTTTCTCGATTTTTAACTGCACGTACACGGAGCTTCACGATACAACTTTCTGAAGCACTGTACAAGTTATCGCACCAGACGCTCTTGGTCATAAAAATCTTTTGCTGGCTCGCCGACTAACTGTCCGGCAATAATTCGTTCAAATTCAACTTCATTCATTGCTTGTTCTTTTTTTAATACGTTTATATATAAATGTCCACAATGTCGGGTGAACCCACAAGACTGCTCAACCTCCGATGCCATCCCTCGACAGAGATATTTGTCTTCGTATATCTTCTACGACGACATCGTAGCAGTTCCATAAGTCTATAGAAAATTTTGGTGGTTTGCGCAGACCTCGACGACCAGGTCGCCGCTCAATCCAAGTGTCTTCAAAATAATCAACAACAGGATAAAGTCGATTTTCATTTTCCGTAAAAAAAAACTCATTTCCGGTAAGTATTTCGAATGCAACATCTGGTTCGGGCACAAATGCCAAATCCGATAGTTTCTTGAGTCCCATTTGCAAATTCTGCGTCGGTTGAATGCGCTTGTTGAAATCCAAATAGGTACTTGAATTTATCGGGGGTAAATACACAAGAGCTTGATTTTTTTGAGTGAATAAAACATAATTATCCTGGTTTAAAACCAAGGTCGAGTGTATTTTAGGGAGATTAATAAAAGACAGTACCAACATTTCACAACCACTATGTATTTGACGCATTCCTACACGCATTATCGCTGATAAAAAGCCACCTAGCGTTGAATCGCTGATAAAAAGCTATCTACGAGTAGCTTTTAATCAGATAAAAAATCATCTGACTGGTTAGAATTTAAAACAATCACCAAGCTGATTGGTCGTATATTAATGGAGTGTATTAATTGCCATAAACACTGTGTAATATGGAAGGTTGCGTTAAGGCGCCTATGAACTGAATCTGAAATGACCTATAAAAGGACAAAATAGTTTATAAAGGATACGGTTTTACAGTTGCTTTGGAAATTAGGTCGATGTTGGATATTGTAGGAAATATAGTACACATTAATCCTACGGATTTTTATTTTCGATATTTATCATATTTTTTGAAATAATTAGAGTCGTTGATAAAACGAATTTAAAGGATAACTGGAGTTCTATTTTCGCGATGAACATGGTTTTTGGCGATTTATAATCTGCTAATAAAGCACTTTAATCCTACGGATAGCAATTTTTTTCATCTTTTATAGAAAAGCGCCAAATTGGTAAAAAGGTTTGTGTGACCTTATGAATTTTTCAGTGATTTAAATCGAAGTTAGGCAGCTTAGATTGCACCTCATACCTTCCGGCAAAGAGTAACTAATGTATTCTTTGCTTCCGGCGAAATTGACTGTTGCTTTTGTACCTCGCTAATTATATGGTAATTAGATGATTAAATATGCATTATGACACAAATAAAGGGGAAATTCCTTTAAATATACACCTTTTTACCATCTTGTCGAGTTTCTTGTGGCTTATACTTTCATTGCGGGTATCTATGAGACTATGACTTTTTATTTTTTCCGCTGTTTTTTAATCCTACTGACCTCTCGTTCGCACGGCACATATGTACGGCAAAATGACCGAAACGTAATTTTGACCGAATGGAACGCAGTATAATCTGCTAACAAAGTCCACTATTCGTACGGATAGCTATTTTTTCATCTTTTATAGAAAAGGTCCAACTTTGAAAAAAGATTTGGGTGATTTAATCACCTTCGCAGTTCCTTTTATCAATAGCGGTTCCGCTTTAACACTTTTTAGACTCTCTATGAAAATTAAATTCATTTTAGGCACGTAAATAACAATTAACAAATAGGTAATTTGGTCAATAATGATCATAGTAAATACCCAACAACGAATTTATTGCGATAAATCTTTATTGAATATAAAACATGTAGGGATACGTCTCACAACAACAGTGAAGGGACTCATAAGTATCAGGAAAAGATGATTTTAAAAAATAGACAAAGAAATGTTATACTTTTATATACAATATACAAATATTTACCATAAGAAAAAATACTTTATTAAATAATTAATGCATAGTGTTGCACCTCCCCCTCAAGTCATGTAAATTGTTCTCAGGTCTTGTCCTCTACTTCTTCGTGGATCTACCAATTCCGGGATTAGCGAGTTGTAATAAAAGTCAGACAACTTCTCCGCCATTTTGGTAGTCCAAAAAACGTCATCTCTACAAAAACAAATTAACATATCTTTTCACAGAAAAAATGCGAATTATTTATTACCTTTCGATTTGTTCCACATGTCCTCTGGTGTATACTATGAAGTAACAAATATTTCTATTTGTTATGTGCAGTTGCCCTTGTACTTGATAGTAATAGCTATGGGTTTTTTTCAAACACCATGTGTCACCTGGTTCCAATTTAATTAGGGTCATTATGTAAGGTTGAAAACTCTTCTTCCTTATAAATGTTTGTATGTTTCTTATGCCTGCCTAAACTGTTCATCCGATTGCGATGAAACTTTGGAAAATGGTTGAACGTATGCTTCCTAAGGTTTCACATATATTAAAATGCTTCCCAAATTCTCAACCAAACGGGAATTCACATATATTAAAATGCTTCCCAAATTCTCAACCAAACGGGAACAAGTTAAAAAGTAATCGTAAATGATTTACATAAAGCGCATTTCCACTTGCATTCATTTTCCATTTGTAAGATGCAACTTCTGTTAAAATCGTAAAAATCCGGCCACAAATATAAAAGATAGCGTTGCACATGGGCAATCCATTGTTGACGTGCTACTTCAATTTCAGTTTATGAGAAGAATTTCATTTCAATGCTTTTCTAAATAAGAAAGTTGGAACTGCGCATGCGCAAACCTAAATTTTAAAACTAATTTACTATAACTAACTAATAAACTAAGATTTTCCTTTGTTCCAAGCGCCTAAGTATCAAATTTCACTTAAATAGTTCCATAGATAAAAAAGTTGGCATGGCCGCATGCGCAAAATAAAATTTTGAAACTGGCGCTAGATTTTCCTTTATTCCAAGTGCCTATGTATCACATTTCATTTAAATTCTTCCATAAATAAAAAAGTTGGCACTGCGCATGCGCAAAACCAAATTTTGAAATTGGCGTTTGATTTTCCTTTATCCCAAGTGCCTATGTATCAAATTTCGTTTAAATTCTTCCATAAATAAAAAAGTTGGCACTGCGCATGCGCAAAACCAAATTTTGAAATTGCCGTTTGATTTTCCTTTATCCCAAGTGCCTATGTATCAAATTTCGTTTAAATTCTTCCATAAATAAAAAAGTTGGCACTGCGCATGCGCAAAATAAAATTTTGAAATGGGCGTTTGATTTTCCTTTATTCGAAGTGCTTATGTATCAAATTTCGTTTAAATTCTTCCATAAATAAAAAAGTTGGCACTGCGTATGCGCAAAACCAAATTTTGAAATTGGCGTTTGATTTTCCTTCATTCCAAGTGCCTATGTATCAAATTTCATTCAAATACTTTTATAAGTAAAAAAGTTTGCAATTCGGTTTATAAATGGTCGAGATGCGAAAAGGGCACTGTGAATTTTGAATCGATTCGATCCAACTTTTGGCATTGCGTATTATATGGCTAAATCTATGCCCATATTGAATTTCATGCAATTCAGTTCATAACTAACGGAGATGTAAAAGCGATCGAACATTTCTAAACAAAGTTATCGTTCACACGGACAGATAGATGGACAGACAGACAAAGGAACAGACGGAGAGACCAACCGGCAGGCGACAGATAGCAATGCAAAATTATAAACGATCTCTAGGATCGTTAATAAACGGCAAAAGTGTAAAATTATGGAACATGTAAAAAACGGTTTTTTGTTTTTTTTACAATAACTTTTTTTGTAAGCGGTACAGAAAAAATTCCTTCCTTGGTACAAGACTCGACACCATAACGAACCAAATAGCGAAAAAAGTAGAACAATAGCTCTTAAGATAAAAAACTAGTAGCGTCGCAAAGTTAGCGGACGGACGGACGGACGGACGGACGGACGGACGGACGGACGGACGGACAAAGTGGCCACAATAGCGCATTTTTTGTTATTTTTGTGGAAATGCGCTAAAAACGGAATTTTTCTGGGAATGGGGTACGAGCGCGTGAAAAAAAAGTGTACGAAATTCTCACGGGACTACTGTAATACTAATTACTATACTAAATTTTATTTTGCATTTTTGGATATTACAATTAAATTATGTGAATAGTAAGTTAGAATGTTATTATTCTGACATGGCAAAATAAAAACCTAATACGTTATGCGGGACAGTATGTTTACTCTCGCGTTCCTGCGGCCGACATTCAATAGTAACGGATACCCCATTACGCAATCATAATTATCTATCGACCATATTTACTGTGTCCTATTTTTAGCGCATTTCCACAAAAATAAAAAAAAAATGCGCTATTGTGGCCACTTTGTCCGTCCGTCCGTCCGTCCGTCCGTCCGTCCGTCCGCTAACTTTGCGACGCTACTAGTTTTTTATCTTAAGAGCTATTGTTCTACTTTTTTCGCTATTTGGTTCGTTATGGTGTCGAGTCT